TTTGCAAATTTAGAATAAATTCTATTCACATAAATACAGGATGCGTTCTGAAAGTAATGCGCATGATTTTATTGTGACGCGACTATCAATCGCAGCGCACTCAGATTGGACTAAAAATGTGGTGGGGGATTTGTCCTTCCAAATACGCCTGGTCTCAAGTCGCTCCGAGTAGTAGAAGCAGTAGGACGTGTCTTTGCGCTAAGTCTTTTTTTTTCGATCGAGTCCCAGCGTGATGGAGTGTTCGCTGGAAAGCGATAAAGTTTTATGTGCGGTTTGGGAAGAATGCGACGGAAACTCATCACATGCTTCAAGACGCCTCTAAGGTGAAATGCATTTCGAGATCTCAGTGTGGAAGGCCTTCTAGGAGGGTCGGGAGTAGGTCACCGACGAGCCTCGTTCTGGACGCCCAACAACAACCCGAACAGAACAACAACAGCCCGTGAAGTTTTGAAGTCAGACCGTCGGTTAAGCATTCAGGCTATCACCAAGACCGTGAACTTGTCAAAATGTGTGGTACATGGGATTGTGACGGAGGATTCTCAAATGAGAAAGGTCTGTGCGAAGCTTGTGCCGAAGGTGTTGACGGAGGAGCAAAAACTATCTGACCCAAAGTAAGACCCCCTTGGTGCCCTGACTTGGCGCCGGGTGACTTTTTTTTTGTTCCTTCGACTGAAAAGAGAGCTGAAAGGAAGGCACTGGGAGTAACATCCAAGCTCATGTTACAAGGTTCCTGAGAGGCATTCTTGTCGAGGAGTTTCTGGGTGCCTTCCAAGCGTAGCAGAATCGTCTCCGCAAGTGTATTGATGCACAAGGGAACTATTTTGAAGAATTTTAACCATTTTTACCCATAGGATCAATAAATCTATTTTTCCCAGAAAATGCGTATTACTTTCAGAACGCACCCTGTATGTAATACCACTTTCTAATTAAAAATGTGAAAAACTTCTTAAGTTATATGCATGCACGTCATACCTGTATATCGTTAAGATACAAAGGTTAGTCACCACTTGCTAATTATAAATGCGAATTAATATTTATATTATGAAAAACTTTCTTGGAAATTTTAAGGGAATAAAGAGTTAAACTGAAAAGTTATGAGGGCAATTTAAAATAAATTGATTCTTACATTTTAGCATTGGTTAAAAATTTTACTACCTTTAAAAATACTAAAAAGTGTCTTAAGAGTGAAGTGGCAAAGGAAACATGAAACGCATCATTCATTTTTCTTTACTTTTGAAATAATCCGTTTAATCTCACATTAAAAAGGTATATTTCAAAACCTTTCAAAATACAGTAAAGTTTTGACCCAAAATACAAACATTTAATTAAATTCTTTTTTTTTCACATTAAAAATATTGTAGTTTCTAAGTAAACACTTCTGCTAATGCAGACGCAGAAATTCGATAAAAAAAAAGCTGGTTGCAAAACATTTATTCTTAAAACTCACCGTTCCGAAATGGACTGCATCACAGGCTGCTGTCAGTGTGCGGGTGGGTGACCACCTGGATCAGTCTGCGTAGGGACCGAGGGTGTGTGGTATTGGTCTCCGTTAAACTGTTCTACCGTAAAGTGCTCGACCTCACGTGCAGGTAGTCGGGGGTCCCGCAGTGGACTGATCATTAAGACACGGTTCCCAGCAGATCACTGAAATCAAGCATCACTGGCTGCGGTCAGTGTGAGGGTGGGTGACCACTTGGATCAGTTTGCGTAGGGACCGAGTGTATGCGGTATTGGTCCTCGTTAAACTGTTCTACCGTAAAGTACTCGACTTCGCGTGCAGTTCGTTGAGCTACCGAAGCAGGGGTGCCATCCCCTCTGCAAAGGATCAAAATTGTGATGGCATGTCTTCGGATCATCCTCAGGGATGTTTCCCAGACCGTCGCCAATAGCCCATTGTGTAGCTCTAGTGCGACGTGAATTAACTGCAGCTACAATAACAACTTTGATCAAAGAGCGCGCAACGATTCCACTGGATAGCTTATATAGATTTTCATTCTATAGTTGCAATTGTATTACTTCTTTTGGTTACTATTAACAAAAGATAATTCTGATGTAATACAGAGATTCAGAATTCGAATCCAAAGCAGGGTAGACATCATCTCTGCAGAGGATCAAAATTGTGATGCCGTGTCTTCGGATCATCCTCTGGGATGCTTCCGAGACCGTCGCCAATAGCCCATTGTGCAGCTCTACTGTGAAGGTAAATGAAGTACCAACCTACCTACCAGGATTCGAACCTTAGCATAAAATAATTGTAGAGTAAATGTTGCTTGAGAATCTCGGCATTTGTGTTCAAGTTGTCATCAGGGTATTATTCTATCGCCAACAGTGTCTTTACGATCAGTCCACTGCGGGACCCTATTTAATGGAATTACAGGAAAATAAGCATGCGCAAAGATCTCGTCGAACCATTCTACAATACAATAAATAAGAGAACGGAATTCTTGTATCAGGCTAAAATATATGCTAAATTTGTATTTCCCTTCTAACACATATTTTTTTCTGATCACTTCTTGATAATGCAATACTCGTGTGTGCTCAAACTATATATATATTTGTGTTAGACAGTGATGTTTTACTGATTACAAAATTGCCTTTGTGTAATAAACTTTCTAATGAACATTCGACGACTATATTTCCATGTTTTAACTTTTTTGCTGATTTCTCTTATGGAAAACTAAGTGATTTATTTTATGAGCCCTGAATGGTGAAAATATAAAAAGGCTAAGTACGTTTTACCTCGAATTTGTTACGAAATTTAAAGAATGAATGTTAATATTTTAAAAATATTCAAAAATATTAAAATATTTATCTTGACTTTTTGAATAAAGGAACATTTAGCCAGTAAAGTAAAAACTATTAGAAACTCATATTTCGTAGTTTTCTGGTTATATTTTAAAAATTTATAAATATTAAGAAGCGTAGCATAATATTTGGTCATATTTAGTCATCAGAGCAGTGATAGTTCAGGGGATAGAGCGGACGCCTTCCAATGAGATGAACCGGGTTCGAATTTTAGCGATGGCTGGTCGATACGAATTCCACATCCGGCTTGAACACACCATAGTGTTGACGTTAAATATCCTCATTGGTTGAAGGATCATTAGTTAGTCATCTTACAGTCAGGCTAACAGTGGGAGGTTTACTTTGTTTTCCATCCCATGTAACGCAAATGCTGGTTGGTTCCATCAAAAAATCCTCCACGAAGGCAAATTTCTCCCAATACTTGATCCAGGAGTTCTCTTGTCTTCTGGATTAAGTTCAAAATGAAAAGACTACGGAGTTGAACATTAGTAGTAGTAAACCCATAACTTGAGTCGGGTGTTCAACGATGGTAATAAAAATATTTAGTCTTCAGCTTTATCAAGCAAGTTCGAAGCAATTTAAACCCGCTAATGAAATTGCGTATATAAACTAGTTATGAAATTAAGGGTGCTTTTCTAATATACTCCTTTCAACGTGTTTCTTGCTTCAAAAAATAGGCAAACAGTTCTGATGTGCAAATGAAAAAAAAAAACAACGGAAGTGCTTCACAATTAATTCCGAGAAAAGTTGTCAAGCCACTTCTATTGTTAATGCTATGAACGCAAGAATAGAATTTCAAAAAACTGATAAAACAAAATTTATATTTGCATTTATTACCCATAGGCAAAATGGGTATTGTTTTGGGTTCGATGGACGCCATCACACTTTTCAAATGTGTTCAGGAGTAATAGTAAACAGTGCGCTGCGTCGTCATTCCATGCGTTGCTACGGCGACCGCTGCTGTTTGATGATATTTTCAGAATTCTTTTTCTTTTCACTTTTAATTTTGTTATGTATTAAGTTGGTGAGTTTGTTCTTGATGTATGGGACCAGAGAGATCCCTTAAATACTTGAGTTGTAAATAAAAGAGAATTTCATCATTTGAACGAGATTTTTGTTTTTACTGTTTTAATTAAGAATCAGAAATTCTAACCCACAGGAATCAGGAATTTTAACTGGATCGTTTTCAATATTAATTCCGGTGAATATCACAAATAAAGAGGGTCCCAAACTGATTGACACGTTCCCAAAGGTTAGAGTTGAAGCAAGAAAAGAAAACTATGCCAAGACCTGAACTACCGAGACTGAAAAGGCTAAAGCCAAAGAACGTAGACGAGAAAAAAATTAGACAACAACCATTTTGACAATGGGTAATCTGTGATCGCCATCCGTAGATCACATTTTTTTCCCCTTTTGTCTTAACTTTGCACTTGCTGAGTAGAAATACTGAATATATATTTTTTTTTTGTAGTATGTAGTTTACCATATAAAGATGCCAAATATATAATTCAAAAGTTTTTGTCGATTACCTTGATTTTTAAATTGTGCGTCATAGTTGTAGTCCCTTAGTTTTTAATACGTTTATAACTCGATGAAATATTCATTTTAAACTTTTAAAATGTGTTGTCTGATTTCGCTTCTACAAAGAGTTTGAAGCAGAGACTATGAAGTATCCCACTACTTAATTCATTAAATCGATTAATGGTAGCTAAATATTGCAATTTAATATAAGTTATACTAAACAAATCCATTTAACTAGCAGAACTATTATAAAAACGGCATACTTAAACTATTATATTGTTACTCTACTTTTTTTTTACTTATGCAGTAGTACTTCCCAAATACCATGAGAACTCTTCCTGACTGCGAGTTTAGGGTTATAAAAAACAAAACTACACCATTTCCTATGGGGTTGAATAGGCTCTCCCAACTTTAAGACTGCAAAATGATTAACCCCACATCACTCTCTACTTAAATAAAGTTACAAAGATAATTCCTCGAAGTGAATTATCTTTGTAACCTTAGTAGTCGCTAGCATGTGAATCTGGTATCAGGAGAAGTTCTCGTGATAGCTAGACAATATTAACAGTAATATTCCATAGTATTTACTTAAACAGTACTTAACAAAAAATATCAAGCAACCACTACGAAACTGTTTTGCTAACAAAACCATTAATTAACTAGTAAAAAACGGCTTAACAAAAACAGTGTAAACTTTATTAATTACATAGTAATTGAAACATGAAATGCAGTTACATTTTTTTTACGTAATAAAATAGTGGAGCTTAAGTTATATGAAAAATAATCACTGATGATTATGATGAATGAAGTTGGGATGAATCTTTGTCTGGCGGAAGTACGGTTGCTCTGTAGTATATTTCTTTAGGGTATATCCAGCTGTATGAATTGTCAAACATCATGATATCTGTAAACAGACGAAAGCAAATTATTTAAAACAATTCTTAAATGGGACAGTATAAAAAAATACATAAAATACAGTATAAATTGGTATTACTCCGAATGATTACTCGCTAATGATTCGAATAAAATGAATTAGTTCAGTGTTTTTTAATTATTTATTTCAACAGGAAGATACAAAATTCTCAAAGACGCTTTTTTCTGTCAAAAGTAAATTCATGTGATATTAATTTATTTTTATTTCATAATATTCAAAATTTGCATTCAATTTACGGCATATTTTGATTTCAATCTTTATTTTTAAATTTGTTTGGAGTATGAACTTGTGTGGGGGGGGGATTTTACTGAGATTATATCCTAATCCTAAACTATATAATGCGTCTAAGCATTTTAATTAAATTGAATTTTGTAATAATCACGATTGTAATAGATTTAGCTCTACTTTTTAATTGAAAGACTATATTTGAAAATTGAGTATTACTCATAATACCACCAACACGATACATTTCCTATTACTTAATTTAAAATTTGAAAATGGATGCAATAGTATACAAAAATAAATTGTACGATAGTATACAAAAATAAAGACTGGATTCTTAATTTTTTTTTCTTGTAGCTGAATTTACGAAGTGAATCTGAAGAATTATCTTCATAAATCCAAAATTCCAATCCAATTCTCGACGTCTCTATGCGTCAGTAATAATCTTGCAGGTTTTCTTTTTTTAATTATTTTTTATTATATTGGAATCTTACTGTCTCTGTATAGCAATGTAATGCCAATTCATTTTCGAATTAAAAAGATAGGTAGGCACTTTATTTACGTCACACTAGAGCTGCATAAAGGACTATTGACGACAGTCTGGGAAACATTCATGAGGATGATCCGAAGACGTGCCATCACGATTTCGATCCTCTGTAGAGGGATTGGCTTCCCTTCTTTGGTAGCCCGACGATCTTAAGTTCCCTGAATTTCGCGACATCTTGCATGCAACTAATACCAATGCTGTTTTCTAAACGATATTTAAGTACAGAAGGTGTGACGTAGTTGAGGACTGTAGATATTCTTATTTGCATTGGTGTCCAAATACTTTTTGGTTTGTGAGGGTGGGTGACCACTTGGATCAGTCTGCGTAAGGACCGAGGGTGTGCGGTATTGGTCCTCGTTAAACTGTTCTACCGTAAAGTGCTCGACTTGCGTGCAGGTCGTCGGGCTGTGAAAATTGTGATGGCATGTCCTCGGATCATCCTCGGGGATGTTTCCCAGACCGTGGCCAATGGCCTATTGTACAGCTCTAGTGCGACGTAAATGAACTACAACTACAGCCTCAGCATGGACCAATTCAGTAGCCCGACATAATGAACATAATTTGCACAGTGGAGAAAAAAATAAGAAAGCTGCGCAGTGGGGGAAAATGCGAAAGATGTCATTACGTTTGGACTAGTAACGGATCAAATTTCTTGTTTATGGTGCAGAGCCATTCTATCTTCAAGGGTTCATTTCGCTCTTATAGCTGAAGCTACGATTTTCCTCCTCATGGCGTCACGCTGCACACAGATCTCAGATATCGCAAGCAAAGATATTATGAAAACTTTGTATCATTCTCTCTGTAAAAATAAGTTCGACTTCTTCTTGATATTAGCTTTCACACTTTATGCAATTAACATATTATTTCCTTTCAAAAACATAGCTTAAAAAAATTTTCTTGGCCGAAATATTACATTAAATACCATTCTAAACTAATAAAAATATTTTACTAGTTGTCGTAAATGACGCTATAAATACTTTATTTTACCATTTTCAGTTTTAACTTTTATTATTAAGAAAATTTTAATGCATATATCGACACTTTTTTAGCTACATATTGTTCGATAATAATAATTTGTAAAGTTAGGTTGAATTTAGAATCTTCATTTTAAGATATGCTAAAGGCAATTTGTTTATACTTAATCATTAAGAAACAACTATGAAACTAGAAGAATTTTAACTATTAATTATCTATACTTTTTATTTAAGTTTTTATTTTCTTTGACTTATTCGCCTGCTTAATTTTTTTTTTTTTTTTTTTTTTTTTTTTTTTTTTGAAGTTGCTGGGCGGTTTTAACTTAGATGGCGAATTCTTATAAAAGTTCTGAAATGCAAAATAAGCGTTTCACTTATAAATTCTTTGATAACACTTTTTGATTTTCTGTCCCATGCACATTCTGAAAAATGTTCTCAAATTCCTGACACACTTCCATCCATGCTGCTGACGAAATAATTACTCCTCCCTTAGATAAGAGAGCACTTGGTAGAGTTAGCGCAATTTTAAAATCATTCTAATCGGCAATCCAAGCAAACGATTTCTCATATCATCTTCATAATTCTGTTTTAAGAAATGCTTACTGCATATTCGTTCATATTTAATATCAATCATTTCGTTTGCAATGTTGAAGCTATTCTTTACATAGTTGTTCATTTACTTTAGGGAACACGTGGAAAATTATACTTTTTCTTTTTGTGTTTCTATCAGAATTTTTGTAAGTTGCAATCGCACAAACTGGCATTTCATAAATAATTTTAAATTTTTGTAATTCACTTCACAAAACTGAGAAAAATCATTATTGGAAACAAAGAATGTCTTGGAATATGTCACAAAAAGGAATGCTCCATTATTAGTTAAAGCTAGTTAGACCGAACGCTTCGTTCCTGAAGCAAAAGTTCAAGCTTTGCGCCACCGTGACGTCACAGGCAAAAATCGGAGGTTTGGCGCTTTGATCGTTTCTTCAAAGGAGTGAACTAGCCCTTCTATCCTCTTTAGCCCTGAGGGGGTATTGTCCTGATTAGGTAAATTGTTACTTAGAAACTTTATCCACTCATACAAAAAAGACATAGAAAAAAAACTTTATGAAAAAAAAAAAAACATTTAATTCTTAGCAATAATTTTGTTCAACTTACAAGTGCCCGCTTTCTCACAGCGGTACACACCGGATTCCGGTTCGAATCCAGTGTCTATTCTTTGCTTAGGAACCAGCTCGACAAGTTTTTCGCTATTCCATCTTTTATCTTTGTAGTAAAGGGCAAATCCTATGTCTCTACTTTTTGTTTCGAAATCCCATTCTAGTGTGGAATCGGGCACTGTAATCTCGAACGTAATGTTGGCACTGGAAAACCTTGTGACGTGTAACTTTTTCACTCCTGGCTCTAAATAAAGCGTTTTCTTCGATTTTTTAAGATAATAGTGTTCCGGAACATCACCTCCATGACATATCTGTAAAAATATATATATATATAATTTTCATTTATATCTTCATTTCTAATTTAATAAATAAATAAAACAGGAGATATGTTTATGAGTGAAAAATACAAGATATTCAGAATAAATGCTCTTTAGTTTGTATATAAGTTGTTTAGATGAGCACAAATATTGGGGAAAAAATGGTACAGACTTTTAAATTTTTTTATTCGCAGAGTTTTTTTTTTTTTATATAGTTCTAGATTATTTCACCAACAAAAAAATTTTTGGCACATTTTAATGGGGATCACTTAATTCTTGCAAATCCATGGAAATATGTAAATGTATGAAATGGAATTTTTTTATATGTCTTATTGTACAGCCTACCCAATTTTTTGGGCTTACGTCTACTAATTTTCAACTCCGCAGTCTTGTAATTTTGAGCTCTATCCAGAAGACAAGAGAGCTCCTGGAACAAGTATTGGAAGAAATTTGCCTTCTTGGAGGACTTCTGATGGAACTAACCCACATTTGCGTTACGTGATGAAGAAAACCACGAAAACCTCTCAAGGGTAGCCTGACGGCAATTGCACTCTAACCCATACATCTACAACAAAAGATATTTTACGTCAGCACTGTGCTCCGTGCAAACCGAATGCGGAATTCGTACCGACCAGCCATCGCTGCGATTTTAACCCAGCTCACATTATTGGAAGGAGAACGTTCTATCCCCAGTGAGGTGATCCAGTTGCGATTCCCAGCGTTCTCTGATCGATACAAATTCTCCTGCCGGCTCACACTGACCACAGTGCTGACATAAAATATCCTCAGTGGTAGATGGATCATTCGTTAAAATACCCTTAAGGTCCGGGTAACCTTGGGAGGTTTTCGTGGTTTTCCTCTTCATGTAACGCACATGCGGGTTAGTTTCATAAAAAAAGTCCTCCACGAAAGCAAATTTCTCCCAATACTAGATCCAGGAATTCCCTTGTCTTCTAGATTGGGTTCAAAATTACAAGGACAAAATTCAACGACAGTTATAAAATGAAATAGAAACATACCACAGTTTTGCATAAAGGATCCCCATCTGGATCGGTTCTCTCTCCCCCAAGAAAAGCGGGAAGTTCTTTCGCATCTATCACTCCAAGTAAAGCTTCTTTCCACCCCTCTGCAAAAAAAAAGAGGCTCATTTTAAAAATGTTTCGCAATTGATTTCAAAAAATATTATTAACCAAATTTTTATTAAAATATTTCATATATGATTAAGGTAAATCTAGAGAATAGCAACAAAAGAATTAAAAAAATAATAAGTAATAATTTATTGATAAGTTAATGTTAAAATTATTGTGTACATTTGCTTCTTCTTATGCTTTCATTTTACACAAAATGACAAAGTTCCTAAGCGTAATTTACACTTATATGAAATATAAAACACGTGGGTTGGAGCGTCTATTATTAATAGCTACAATACAATGGAAAACCTGCAAGTGACGTTGCGTGGATATCTCGATTCTGATTGGTTGTCGGAAAATGGCATTTGTTTACGGTAGCAACTGTTCTTTCCATTCNCCAGAAGACAAGAGAACTCCTGGATCAAGTATTGGGAGAAATTTGCCTTCTTGGAGGACTTTTGATGGAACTAACCCGTTAAATGGAGAGGAAAACCGCTAAAATCTCTCAAGGGTAGCCTGACGGCAATTGCATTCTAACCCCTGATACGTCTACAACTGAAAATATTTTACGTCAGCACCGTGCTCCGTACAAACCGAATATGGAATTCGTATCAACCAGTCAGTTGAGATTCGAACCCAGCTCATATCGTTGGCAGACGAACGCTCTATCCCCTGAGACATCATGGCTCATGAAATTGAATTTATTACAAATACTTTTAAAATCCCGAATTTTTTTTTAACAGATTTTCTTTTCTACTACATATTTATAGCAAAAGCTCTCGCCTCCCAATGAGGTGACCCAGTTTCGAATCCCAGCGTTCTCTGATCGATACAAAATTCACACAGTGCTGACATAAAATATCCTCAGTGGTAGATGGATCATGCGTTAAAATACGGTCCAGCTAACCTTGGGAGGCTTTCGTGGTTTTCCTCTCCATGTAACACACATGCGGGTTAGTTTCATAAAAAAAGTCCTCCACGAAAGCAAATTTCTCCCAATACTAGATCCTGGAATTCCCTTGTCTTCTGGATTGGGTTCAAAATTACAAGGCTACGGAGTTGAACATTGGTAGTCGTAAACCCAAAATTGGGTCGGCTGTTCAACGACAGTTATAAAATAAAATAATAACATACCACAGTTTTGCATAGAGGATCCCCATCTGGATCGGTTCTCTCACCCCCAAGAAAAGCTGGAAGTTCTTTCCCATCTATCACTCCAAGTAAAGCTTCTTTCCACCCTTCTACAAAAAAAGAGGTTCAATTTTAAAGTGTTTCGCAATTGATTTAAAAATATATTATTAACAAAATTTTCATTAAAACTTTTCATACATGGTTAAGGTAAATCTAGAGAATAGCAACAAGAAAAATAATAAGTAATAATTTATTCATAAGTTAATGTTAAAATTATTGTGTACATTTATTTTTTCCTATGCTTTGTTGTTATGCTTTCATTTTATACAAAATGACGAAGTTCGTAAGCGTAATTTACACTTTTATGAAAGATAAAACACGTGGGTTGGAGGGACTATTATTAATAGTTACAATACAATGGTAAACCTGCCAGTGACGTTGCGTGGGTATCTCGATTCTGATGGGTTGACGAAAAGCGGCATGTATACGTTAGCAACTGTTCTTTTCATTCCTGTTCGAGTAAGCCAAGCCCGTCAAGTATCAATTCTCTTAAGTGTAAAATTATATATTCTTTCGCAACGATTCTTTCACTGTATATTTCTTGCTGTACTCAAAAACAAGCACGAAGCCATGTAGAACATAAACTAATTTTGTATCAAAATCGCCAAAACAAAAATCTACCACAGTCACAATAAAATACGTAAATAAGAAATCTAAGTTAAGTAAAAAGCGTAGACGAAAAATAATTATATTTCAAAGAATGCGATGAGCAATACGACGCTGCATTTAATAAACATTCTAACTTATGTGGAGAAACTTAACTTTCACACGCCAATTTGTTTATAAGCGATGAGTTGGTGCTGACGTCACATGTGTGGGTAAGCGTTATCTTATTCTTCTTGAAGTGCAAATACCTAATTGAAACAAGAATAATAACAACAGCATTTAAATGAAATTATTTTAAGTTATTTTTAAACAAATATTATATTTTAAAGGAGAATATTTTCCACTTTATGTTTAAAGAGCCAGAAAAGCGTAAGAATTAGTAAGATGAATTAGGGACAGCTTTAATAGCCTTGTCTGCACTGAATGTAACGTAATCGCTCTAACATAGACACAATACTCCATTATGCTCTTACGTAGCACAAATGCTTTACGTAGGAGCATAATGTTCATTTCTCTAAGAAAGAAACGCACAAACTCTCCCATTTTAGAAGTAGATATTGCCTTGTCTTTAAGCATGACAACTTCTATTAAAGAACCGCTATGAGTTAAGGTAAGCGAAGCTTGAGAGAAATCGTAAAAATATTTTGCAAGAAAAAGAACTTTGAAAATTCAGGCATTTGCTTTGGGGGAAAATACAGCTATAATTCATCTTTGACGATGATAACAATCAACTTGCACATTCAAGTACGCACTGCAAAAATGTTTCTGAACTTTTTCCCAGCATCTTCGTTGAGCGCAGTCTCGCTTTAGCTATACTTTATTCCTGTTTTTAAAATGTGAACGGCATAATTAATTTGGAAATGTTGTTAAAAAGTCCATGTGAATAATGGGGATGTTTTTTTAAAAAAATCAAACTAGAGTTTTTCTGCATGGATTTGGAAACTGTTCTGAAGTAAAATTCAAAATTCATCAAAAATGTATGAAACTTATGAAAGAAAATCACAAAACGCGTTAAACTTTTAATAAATCTTAAACTTTTAATTTACATCTTATTTAGTAAAAATATTATCTATTTCAGTGCTTCTGGCTGCATATTTCATCATTTAACTAAAATATCTAAACTATCATCTTACAATTGGCCCTAAACTTATATTCACACAATAATTCATATTTAAATCGCTAAAGTTTTAAACATGTGTTACTTGCATTAGGTCTATTTCCTCATTTATTGGATAAAAAAAATCTGAGTATGAAATTCTTTTGGAATCCGAAATTTAAATGATCTGCGCATCAGTGTAACACAAACTATTATTTTATTTAAATAGTTTTTAAAGTATAAGTTTAAAAAATAATTTCACAAGTATAGTTTCTCAAGATATGCAATTTTTGAAAAAAAATTTCAGTCTTACGTAGTGTTGTTTACCCTCTTAAACTGTCCCTCAATTCTATCTCTAAATTTTTATTTTACTGCTCTTTCAAAGTGAAAAATTACATTACTAAATAAATGAAATTATGGAAAGAGAGAGAGAAAAAATAAATTATTTACTATAAATGGAACGTACCTGTTCCGTGGACGTGTATTTTTTCAATCACTGCTGGTGCGACTACCATTTTGACAATTGAAAATATCATGGTAAAATATATAGAAGCTGTAAAAAAAAGGACAATATTAATTTGAAAATAAATTAGTCATAAATTCTAGCTAAAAATAGTATTTAATAGATTATTTTATCACAACATAGTCGGGGCCGGGATAGCCTGGTTGGCAGGGCACTGGATCCATTGGAATCCAGCCCGCCGAAGACTCTGTAATAGATACTTCCTAGCTACAGTTATTTTTTAAAGGATTGTGTATTAATGAATATTTTTGTCGAAATACTCAAGTTTAAAAACGACATATATAACAGGGGGTCACATAAATGTTGCGACACATATCTAAGGAAGTTGGGACTCATAATCAGAATTAAAATTGTATAAGAACGCTTACCTGAAATGCTGCCATACGCCGTTAGGGCGCTTCCCTAATATAAACTATTTTCTTCAGTGCTTCTGAACAGGCCATAATAAGTAAGCGCTCCTAATCGCGTACGACTACATTTCCGAACATGGGTTTCCATGCAATTTTAATTCTGGTGATGTTCCCTAACTTCCCTAGAAGAACAGGGCGTCGCAACGTTTATGCGACCCCCTGTTATATATAACGTTTTTAAACTTGTACATTTCGACTAAATATTTCATTATAAAAGAAATTTGTAGGCTTAAAAGCAAAAATAATTTCATATTTGACACCCCTTAGCCCAAATGTGGCAAGATTAGGTATTTGTATAACTGAAGAAAAAAATTTGTTCCCCGGTGTGATTTTGATTAATTCCTTCTCGCTGCGGTGAAAATGACGGTTGAGGTTTCGCCTTCTATTTCTGGCACCCGTGATATTTCCGGGCTGGAGTGTTCAGTTGTAACGCGCCAATAAGAATAAAACTAATTCATTTATTTTGTCCGGAAATCGTTTTACTTCCCATTTTACACACCAGATGGCAGTACCAGGATATTTTTAAGGTAATTGTAGATAGAGAGAGGTAGTGAGATGTAGGAAGGAAACCCGGTACTACTGTCCAGATTGTGACGTTGGCCTCTGTATCTCATGCTTTGAAATTTATCACGTTAGTAAAAGTTACTGATCGTTATTTATATTGTACGTAAGTAATAATAATTTAATAAAATTATTTTCTAATGTTTAGAAACACATATTTTTTAAATTTTCCTTGCTTGCTGGAAAACCAACATTACGCCATAGTAACCCTAAATGTTGGCTTTTCCTAAAAATTTAATTTTTTAAAATTCAAGCTAAAATCAAATCAGAAATTAAAAATGAATATATATATTGTTCATACACATATTTTTATATAATTTTCAGGAATAAAAAAAATAAGCACTTTTAATGACCATTTTCTTGAAAATTAACCGATCCTTAAGGATGCATAACAAAGATCAGTGTTTAAAAATCACAAATACTATTAAAAGTCTCACACATGCACAATTCGAAACCTCAAAATATTCGCTTACAAAACATTGTTTGCTAATCTTTGCGTTAATCTACTTTAGTTATAAAATCGCTTTTAAATTTAAACATATTTTTGCTGTGTTTTAAATTTATTAACTATACACTTGAGATTTAGTTATAAAAAAGAATTTTACAAAGACGGGATGTAGCAAAAGGACTGATGACTACAAATACTAAACTTACAATGAGTGCAAAAACTGATTAAATGTTTAAAAAAATAACATATTTTAAATTAATTAAATAAAGTTACTTAATATAAAAATTAATATAACACAAGAAACATAAACCATAGACTACAAATACTAGACTTACAATTAATACAATAAATAGATTTTATACGTTCGGGATAATTATCTTGATATATGGTGGCTCCAAGCTTCATTAAATCGATAGCTAAAATGTATGAGAAAGTAAAAAAAAATAAATTAATAAATAAAAATAATAACAAAACGATAAAAATTTTAAGCATACTTAGTTTTATACAATTTCCAAAGTCATAATTTTTGGTACAAGTTGTGTTACTTAAAACAACAGAATACCTATAAAATTACCGTAAGGAAATACTCCCAAAAATTATAATTGATAGTTGTATGGCATATAGATATATTATTAATTTCGTCTATTTGTTTCGTTTCATATGTGAAAGAAATTCACTATAAAAATATTCAACATCATGCAAAAAATATGCTAAAAATTAAAATTTATCATTTTTATGTAATTCACAAAACGGAAACAGTAAATCCAGTTCAAATGAATTACTTAAAAACAAATATTTATCTAAGTTCATTTTCTTATAAGTTGCAAAAATTCTAAGTACGAAACATATTTTCTGTTATGATAGCCTAGGAAGATTAGGGGTACAAGTTCTAAGAGGCACTTTAGAACTGAGATTTATTAAGGTCTTATTTAACAATACAATTCTAATTTATTGAGTCAAGTTTTGAGATTTTTTTGATTTTTTTCTATTTTCTTATTGAGTAGAACTAGTAGAATGTTTTTTGTTAACAAATAGGGAAAAAATGGAATTCTAAAAATGTTTATTTAAAAATAAGCATTTGAGTATAATATCATGTTATTGATTAAAATTAATTAATTAACATGCATTAAGTGGACATTCATACCAATATCTAATCGTTTGTACAGAGAGCAAAAAATAAACAAAACACTCTGAATAACTTTTGATATAATGATCAGATTTTCCCATACTTGCACTCAATCTTAATGTTTTGAGGGGGTGACCTCAAGTACGCTACGTGCATGCCTACAACTATGTTTAAAACTATGCTATCAAGCACAGAATTTGTGAGCTTATATCGACACAATTGAAAAGCTTAAAATCTAATATATATAATTCTTCTACGTGGCTCCCAAATTTTGGCTGTATTTCTTTTCCACCGGTGGCAAAGTTTGCTTTGTTTTGTTTACGTTACTATTTCTCTTACACGGCGAATCGACCCATGATTGCCGCTAAAAATGTCACATGCCAAATTTAGATGAGGTGGCTCAACATATAGCGTTTTTAAAAACGGAAACTGAAATAACCAGAGAGCATCAGCTGCGGCAATCTCACACTATTAAGCTAGGCAGAAGTGAGTAGTCTTTGTCAATAGATCTCTATTTTAGTATTTTGTCTATTTTACTCTCTCTATCTCTATTTTAGTCTTTTTTTCACGAATTTATATATTACGAATTTATTTGACGATTTTTGTTTTATATCACGAATTATACTATTGCACATTTCTAATAGGCTTAATGAATTACATGTCATTCATTTGAATTCAAATTTATTTTAATGACTTAATATATACTAAAAAGATGTAATTTTTTTTTTTTTAAAAAAGTTTTTATACGGATTTGAATGATTGTTTTGAATTCTTAGAATTTTGTGCATTTGCAATGCACCTAAGTTAGTAGCGAGCGAAGCCATATAAGATTGGGTAGCAATTTTCGGGGGTTGGTGAGCGTTAGCGAGCAGGGGCGCAGCCCACTAGTAATTTAAATATTATTATTACAGTCATTTGTTTCCCTTCCCCTATGACTGTACTGCACGCGAAAGATCGCATGTTTAAGGAATGTCTTCACGTGACTGTCTCTACACGAGATTGTGTCTTCACGAGATTGGGTCCTAACGGGATTGTAAATTCGCGTGATTGCGTCTTCGCGAGATTGAGTCTTCACTAGATTGAGTCTTCACGAGATTGTGTCTTCACGTGATTGTGTCTACACGTAACTGTGTTTTCACAATATTGTGTCAGCAAGAAATTGTGTACAAACCAGATTCTCACAATGCTGACACCAGATTTTTTGACTGAAAAATAGAGTTCGAGTATGATTTTATCAAATCAAATTTTTCCGATGAAAAACTAAGTTTTCAGCAAATCTTGGTAAGATTTCAAAGAGAAAAATTATTCATTTTCTGTGTGTGAGCGCAAATGATAATTTTATTACAAAAAAAATTGTTTTTGACAGTGTTTGACAAAATAAGCTAAAAGAACTAATAAGCTTTTTTTTTTTCGTCTAATATGTGTATAATACTCTCGAAATTTAGATACCAAGTCCAATATCAAATTATTGGTTTAATTATTTTCCTTTCTTATGAAATTTACTCCAAACAAGGATTATTTTAATTAGATGATCGTCTATATCCAAAGTATATTAAAGCATTTGTAGCGTCTATCATTTAGTTACTCGACGTAAGAAGCAAAATGAATTAATTCTGCATGTAAATAAATTAAAACAATTGCATTTTCTTTAGTTTCAGTATAAATTAGTAAGTATATAACAGAATTGCTTATGTAAATTTAAATATATAACAATGGGTAATTTAACTAAGAATTTTAGATTTAAAGCCACTTGTTATTTCAGTATAAAATATTTTAAAAAAATTACCGTCTTTGTTAGTTGCTTTTGCAAATGTCAAATCTTTGAAATCATCTATGTAAACCACAGTAGTGACTAATTTTCCAAGCTGTAAAAAATACCAATATTTTTATAGTTACAACAAAAAATTTATTTTCCAAAACACATTAATATTAAATAAAATTAAATTTCTTATCGTGTAACTAAAAACTATCTTTATACAAACATAAATATCAGATTATAAAATTCCTAGAAACTCTAAATTCCCGAATAATCGTTTTGGTTAGAAACATTATTTTGATCTTTATTTTGGAAACAAAAGGCCTGCAAGTTTTAAACAAGTAGTCAACAATATGTGTATCAATATAACGAAGTAATAAAACTTGTTTATCCAACGACAATTTCATGCAAAAAGTATTTTTCATTATATATTTATTATGTTTTATTATTTTAATTAATAGTTGTTGAAAATTTTTTAAATTGCATGAAATACGATTTTTGCATGATTTTAAAGAATGTAATTTTACATAAAAATATGCAATTTTGCATAAAAATATGCAAAATTTAAACAATATTGGCCGGATAGTCAAATTTAAAAAAGTTCTAAAATTAAAAAACGTGTTTGTGTTAAATTTCGTTACTTAAAATATCATCTGCACTAATTAATTAACATATTTGTTATCACGCCCTCGAACCATTGAGTCCTAATACATGAGGATCCAATCATTAGATCAAAAGTTGTTCAGGTGGTTCATTTTTTTGTACCTATTTATTTTAAATAATTTTTTTAATAAATAAAAAAATTTGTCTCACGGTAATCATCTGTTTCAATTACCTACAAAACAAAACATGTATAATTAAAGGAATATAGATGCCAAATTTTACAACATATTTCATTATAAACTATTACCTTTTCACTTTGCTGTTTACACATCAACATGTCTTGTTCAATCAGATGCACGTTATATTTTATAATATCCGCTTTTTTCACTGAGTTCAGAAAACCTGGTGAAAATATTACTATTATAATATTACAGCTGACATTTTTCCCATTTATCATTTAAAAACAATTTATATTGAAAATGCTAAACTGCATATCAAAGAGTTTGTGGACTAAATATAGGCTAAAATCAGAGGTCGGGTAAACTGCTCTATTTTTGTAGTTTACTACAGCTGCAACTACTTTGATACAAACATAGTTAACTACAACTACTTTTTTTAATATAGTGAATGCAAACTATTTACTTTCGAAATGTAGTGGCGACTTCCCTACTTTAGAGAACCGAACTTTGCTGGAGCGATTAATGTACGCCTGTATAATTTACACTGATGGAGAAAGTAATTTATACACTACGTTTAATATAGTTTTGAATATAAAACTGGCTTATATTAAACGTGAAGAATTATTTAGAAATATTTATTCATATTTACATGAGCCAGTTTGTTATTCTAAAACATATTTTTCGAATTTGTTCATTTAATTATAATCAACAATCTTCAACTGTTTATGACCCCCTTGACAGTGAATATTAAATTCAAGAAATGCTCGGAAAATATTAAATACTACTTGCAAATTTCGTTAAGTGTTTAATGCTCTTTTATTTTCACTAAGAAATTAAGTACACAGAAAATATGTTTCCTTCCTTTGAAATGATGTCAATGTTTCGCGAGTGTACATTCGCATGTGTAAGTGTGATAAGTTATTCGTTATTCATAATGGCTAGCTTAAATATTACTTATACGGGTAAAAATATACTTGAGGGTGCCCCTTGGCGAAATTGGCGACTTATGTTTGGTGCCATTCTTGTTTTCACACAACACCGTGGTAACAGGAATGGCGGCCAAAACATAATGATATTTCAATAAAACATTGGAAAATTTCAATAGAACATTGGCAAAAACTTAATAAAATTGCAATGAACCCAATATAAGCAAAATTAATAAACCCAATAAAATGCATTTTGAATCGAAGCAAAAATTAATGGAGTAAACACAGAAAGAAAAGGAAAATAAAAACAACTCACTTCTTCATTAAGCTTGAATATCCTCAGATCTAGGTGCACGGAATGCTCTAATAACAGTTAGATACTGTCTAAATTTATCATGAATAGAATCATGTATACCTCCATCGCCACATAAATTCGGCGAAATACGAATCGAAAAAGGCGTCTGTGGTACCGGACTGGCGGGGACAATTATTTCTGAAGCCCCTTTTTACGACTGCCCACATACCTTCGATCTTATTGACCGGAAGCAAAAGTAACCTTACCAGCCGGTATCCAACGTAGAACTAACGGACCTCTGAAATTACATATGCCGTTGAACATTTAAAAATAAATCTAAACCAATTAGAATCACGATTGGGTTTCAACATCGACCAGCTTGGCGATTAACCGCGATCACAACTTGGCGAGAATCAAGGGGCACCCTAAAATATAGTCTACCCCTAATACGGACTCGAAATCCGCAATTTTCGCTAACTCAGGTCAAAGGGGCATTTTAAATTGCGACAGAAGACCCATCGACTTCGAAAAATTAGTTGTGTTAGAACTCTGTTCATACACTAAACTAATGTAAAAAGTAGTTGCCAGGAATCAATACGAACTACTGTTTATTTATTTTTTTTTGTATCGCACAACTCACCACACTACATTTTTTTTAAAAAGTAGTACACTTCACTATAAGCTACGAAAAAAGTAGCGACTGCAGTAGTTCCACTACTTGTAGTGAGCTACTTCCGACCACTGGCTAAAATTTACTTAACAGTTATGAACAACTGTTACATTCTTACAGCAATTCTGAAAATAGCATAATATTCATAAAAATTCATCATTTCATGTGAAGCTCGAGTCCTCGAAAAACATCCTTTTGTCATGAATAACTCTTACATTTTCACAGCAGTTCTGAAAATAGCATAACAATAATAATAAAATATCATCATTTCATGTAACGGTAGAGTCCTCAAAGAACATCCTTTTGAGATGAAAAACTGTTATATTTTACAGCAGTTCTAAAATCAGCATAATATTCATTAAATATAATCATTTCATGTAGCGCTAGATTCCTTGTAGAACATCCTTTCATCGTGAATAGCTGTTACATTCTTACAGCAGTTCTGAGAATAGCATAATAGTCATAAAAATTCATCATTTCATATGACGATAAAGACCTCGAAGAACATCCTTTTGTAATGTATAGCTGTTACATTCTTACAGCAGTTCTGAAAATAATATTCATTAAAATTCATCATTTCATGTGACTGTAGAATCCTCGAAGAACATCCTTTTTCCATGAATATCTGTAATATTCTTCCAGCAGTTCTGAAAATAGCATACTATTCAAAAAGTTAATCATTTCATGTAACGGTAGAGTCTTTGAAGAACATCCTTTTATCTAAATGAGTATTAGAGCAAAATAACTTTGTTTGGAGGTACCTTATGAAGACCTACCTTCTAAGAACTTCAGCTCAATGAATTACAATCAAATGAAGTCCATATTTTTTTTTGAGCATTAAATTATACTTGTTATTGATGCCACAAGATTTTTTTTATTTCCAATGGCAGGCCAATTTAAAGGAACAAAAAGGATAAAATAACAAGAAAAACAAGGCAAAAAGAGATAAATAGAATAGAATGCATAGTGACATGCTTAGCCCATACGGGCCCTAGCCTCCTAGTAGCGTCCACACACAGTAGTGGAGCTGAGCACAGGACAGACAGAAATATGGGGCAGGTCCATGTCCTCCCCAAGGCGACAGAGCTTGCATTTAGGACAGTCAAAAATGTTTATTCTAAAAAGGTGTTTGGCCAGACAGTCATGGCCCCTTACAAGTCTAAAGAGAGCAACTGCCTTAAACCTGGGCTGATTTGGGATAGTTAAAATATGGTTGAACCAGGTTTTGTGTATATTGCTTTGACGGAAATTCTCTGAGAGCATGTTCTGGAATTGGTTTCGGACCAGCAATTTAAATGAGTGCAGAGAGATGGAGCAACGAGATGCTTGGGCAATAGTTGTTCCTTTCTTGGCCAAGAAATCAGCTTTTTCATTACCCCAAATCCCGCAATGTCCCGGGATCCACGATTTGCTTGCCTTTTAGTGTCAGGTCTTTCAGACAATCAATGCATTTCTGAATAGAGATGGATTGGGGAATCAGTGGAGAGTTAATATCAAGAAGTGTGCTGCGTTAGAGTCAGATAAGATGACGGCGCTAGAAAATTGGTCAGTACGACACTGTAATTGTTTTAAGGCAATTAGAATAGCCTCGATTTCACCGTCGTGAAATGCCACAAGATTAGTTGCATTTTATTAATATTTCGTTTGAATCAAATTCTCTAAAACATACATATGAAAGCAGTACAAAAATTGAGTTGTTTACCTTTAATATCTGCTGCAGCGATTGTTACATAACGAACTGGAGATCCATCTTTATCAAACCCAAAAAAATTAGATGGTGTATATTTTACAAGAACCTAAAAGATATTTCATTTTTAAACCTACATTTCAAACACATGCATCATTTAAGTTAAACGTTTATTCTTTTAGATACATTAAAACATCATTACGAATATAACAAAATGCATATTTTTACATTTTGAGGTGTTAAATATGCTCTCAAAAATGTTTATAAATTAGGAATCGCATATTAAAAACCAAGCGAAAACACGAATAGAAATTTCTTAATACACAACATAAAAATCTTATTTCACAACTTAAAATATTGTCTTCACACATTACTGAGCATATTTAAAGTTAGTCCTCATGATCTTTAAAATTGCATCTTAACGCGGGAAAAAATCTGATAATTAAATCAGAAGTTATAAAGCTGTTAAGGTTTGCACAGTACATTTCATTAACTTCCTAGAAAGAAAGTATTTCTGGAAGTCTTACGTATTTCGTCTCTTACATTGATTAAAATTAAATTGAAACGGTTAAATTGTTTACTTTAGGAATCACAAATATAAAATTTAAGAGAGAATACGAACAGAAATTTCTTACTTCGCAACTTAAAACATTACTTCACAACATAAAAATCTTACTTCACAACTTAAAATTTCTTTACAAATTACTAAGCATATATAAAGTTAGTCCTTATAACTTTTAAGATTATATCTTAATGCGGAAAAATTAAATCAGAAATTTTAAAGTTGTTAAGGTTTGCGCAGTAAATTTTATTAACTTCCTATAAGGAAAATGTTTCTCGCAGTCTTACTTATTCCGTCACATTTAAGTGAATTTAATCATTAAAATTAGATTGAAACGGTCTAATTTTTGACAATTGATTCATACAATAAAGGGCATATTTTCTATTAAACACTTGTGTGGAGAGAGTTATTGACAATGTCAACCTTCATCTATGTAAAGGTACCCCAACATAGAATCGAGTTAGCATGTTTTATATACTTGTGAATTGGAATTGCATTTTTGTAGTGGTAGATACACTACAGTAATCCCCCACCAGAATTATATCTGCGATAGAATTCGATAAATGGATACCACTAGTAGATTCATTGCTGTTTTGCGAGAGGCTGGGAGAGCTGTATTAAGATTATTACCACTAGTTGATTCATTCATTTCTAGTTGATTCTTTGTTTGTTTTTGTTAGAAGTGGGGTGAGCTGTATTAAGATCACCATACTTATTAAGTTCTGAACGTGAGAGCTGTATTAAGTCAAGGTAGGCATGTTTACATCACGTCCGAAGGTCACCAATGAGGGGAGAGTAGTTATTGACCGTGTTAACCTACATCTATGAAAAGGTACCTCAACATAGAATCGAGTTAACATGTCTTGTATACTTATGAATTGGCATTGTATTTTTGCAGTGGTAGATACACTACAACTTGCATGAATAAACATATATTTACCTCTGGAGGCTTATAGTCTTCTAATATTGTATCTATTCCATATTCCTTTCTGAATGAGATATGCTGAATATAAACAATACTCAATAAAATCAATTTTTCATAAACCAAATAAATTAATCTATAACAATTGTTTTACAGGAGCGATTATTTCTTTGAAAATTAACGAAAGCGTTTAGTANTAAGGGTCAAAATAATCTGTACAGAAAAAGAAATTGTATTTTATTCATTTAAATTAAGTGTATGGTGTCTGGCGTAAGCTCTAAATTTCGCTCATTTTAGGCTTAATTTTTCAAATATTTTAAAAACTATGCGATATTCAAAAATATTTCTTCTTGTTTATATCATTTTATGTCACACATGAACCAATAACACACATGTTTTTAAAAAAAATTTATTTTTAAAAAAAATTTCATCGTACCCAGGCAGTCGCCTTAAGTTCTGAACGTGAGAGCTGTATTAAGTCAAGGTAGGCATGTTTACATCACGTCCGAAGGTCACCAATGAGGGGAGAGTAGTTATTGACCGTGTTAACCTACATCTATGAAAAGGTACCTCAACATAGAATCGAATTAACATGTCTTGTATACTTATGAATTGGTATTGTATTTTTGCAGTGGTAGATACACTACAACTTGCATGAATAAAAATATATTTACCTCTGGAGGCTCATAGTCTTCTAATATTGTATCTATTCCATATTCCTTTCTGAATGAGATATGCTGAAGATAAACAATACTCAATAAAATCAATTTTTCATAAACCAAATAAATTAATCTTTAACAATTGTTTTACAGGAGCGATTATTTCTTTGAAAATTAACAAAAGCGTTTTGTAGAAGTAAAGAAATTAAGAAATTCTTAGAAAAAAGCTTTTGTTAGAATAATTTTTTTTTATTTAAACATGGCCAAAATGTGATTCACTTTAATTAAATATTAAAAAAAACAAAGTGGCTGTATGAAATAATATTTATAAAAAATTAGCTATGTACAAATGGAAGGAAGAATTGATAATGTTTAAAGGAATAAATAATAAACAATGTTCAAAAGGATAAATAATAAACAATGTTCAAAAGGATAAATAATAAACAATGTTCAAAAAGATAAATAATAAACTATGTTCAAAATAAGGCTTAAAGAAATTAGTGTCTATTAAAAGAAATAACATTTGAAAGGAATGACATTTGAAAATAATTTTCTAAATAATAATAAAGGGAAAAAATTATTTCCGTTCATTTATAATTTAACCCATTGGCAAAATGGGTCTTGTTTTGGGTTTTATGGCGTGCGTAACTTATTTGGACGCCATCCCACTTTTCAACTGTGTACAAGAGTAATAATGAACAGTGCGCATGCGTCGTCATTGCATGTGTTGCTATAGTGACCGCTGCTGTTTTTATTTTTATTTTCACTAGCAGGCATTTTTAATGTATTTACATAATAATAATTTAAAATATCCTTACATTCTTTTAAATAGTAACTTAAAATTACTGGCTTGACAGTGATTTCAATATAAATATGAATATTGAAAAAGGAAAAGTATTTTGTGATGTTTTGAAACACGTACATAAGCAGGATTTGAAAACCAATCCAATGACAATCAGTTTTTGCAACCCATGATTTGAAATGTGGCCCTTAACGGAATCAATCGAGAAAGAAAAAGTATTTGACCAATGGGTAGCCAGTGATCGTAATAAGGCGATAACAACTTTTTCCTTCTTTATTTTTTAATTTTTTTTGTTGTCTGGAATAACTCAACTAAGCATAAGGCCACAGACTCGAGTATAATATACCTTTAAGATTTCATTCTCTTAGTATTACAGAGTTTATAATTACAGGGAAGTTAAGAGTTAAGTCTAATGCTTTAGCATGCAGAAATGCAATAATTATTTTTCTCAAAGCGTATAAAAATCACAACAGTTTCCGATCAACTGGGATCAACAACTTTTGGCAGAATTCGACTATTACTGTTTTTCACCTGGAACAAATCACACAAAATTTTTCATACATTTATGCTATTAGATTTATGGTATTCTTATTATTAGTTGATATTATTAGATTTAGATTATGGTAGATAATTTGAGCATATAAAATTAAGTAATCCTATCCGTAAATAAGAATTTTCAATGAAATAAAGCAATAAACTCCTTTTTTAGAACTTTAAAAGCAAAAAAACTTAAATTATGAATCTCAGAATGTCCATTCTTTAAATCAAAAGCATAAACTAACCGTTTTCTAGTGCTACTAGTACTTTGTTCCACTGAGATGGCTCCATCGTTTGTGAGACGAAAAGAAACTTTGAAAAAGTGCATTGTGATGACGTCATACTAGATCGTCGATTTAACATTTTGTGATTTCGTTATTTTTAGTACTTAATATCCGTCATATTTGGCACATTTAAGCCAATTTGGTCCTGTATGGTCTTATATTGCTTCTCTTACTTTTATTGCTTTATATTGATATCTATTGCTTCTTTGTATTGTTTTTGCTCTGTATTTTACAATACATCAATATAAGAAAAATTTCACTGAAAAAAGCGAAATGATTTTCAAAGTATTATAGCATATCGAGTAAGTGAAAAAACTCAACAAATCTGTAAATTTGTTAGAAGTGGTTCCCAATTGTTTCGGCTACGGAACCCTAAACAGTCAACATTCCTTATAAATAAAATTTATTAAAAAATTTTTGAACGTTATAACCCATAAAAAAACTATTTTTGAAATAATTAATTATAGAATGAAGATTTTTCATTGCTTTTTCATCAATACTCTTAAATTAGGTTATATGTTCGATATTTAAATGTGCAGTTCTTGTTCTAGATCTAGTCTAGTTATGAGTTTGTTTATGGGTATATATATACGAATGAATAAAATGAAGTGGAATTATAGTTTAGTTCGGGATGAAAACTGCTGTTGAAAACAATTATTAGGGAAACATATTTCTTTATTAAAGAATTATTTTATTTGGATTTGTGAAACGCGATTGGAAATACTAATGCAATATTTTATAAATGCTTGTTCTTGCCATAATTTTCTCAATATATTGTTAAAAGAAACGTATTATCTTTTAGAAACTGCCATGTCCGTTTCATTGGCAATTTATTCGAAATAATTTTATAAAGACAATCGAAAAATTAAATGAATTATGAATTATAGGTTTTATCTAAGTATCACCAGACGTTTCTAAACTCATCATTGGTTACAAAAACTCGCTGAACCCTTTTATCTCTTCCACGGAACCCTAGGGATCCGCGGAACACCATTTGGGAACTGCTGTGTTAGATTATCCTCTAAATTGTTTATCGGTTCTCATAAATAGTAAAAAACTGATAGAAAAATTGAGCAAAAATGGAAAAGATTTCATAATTTTTAAAAAGAAACAGGACTTACTTTTCGGAGCATGCTTTCGGCATTCTTAATATTAAAGTTTCGAGCTATAATAAGAAAAAATAACATTATTTCGTTGAATATTTATAACATACTTTAAACTACAAATACTGCAATATTTAATTTTGAATTTTTAAAAAGTTTTATTTTAAAAAGAGTTTTTAATATAAATAAAAAAATAACTTACTAAAGGAATCATGAATGTTTTGCCTTTTTTTTCAAACCTTATATTTATAATGAATATTGTAGTTCCTAATTTTGAATTGTTTTATTGTGTGATCAATAATAAAATTCGTAGGTTAGATACGTGGAACTTAAACAGCTTATTATTTGTTATTAGCTTAATATTTTATAGTTTTCTTTCTTTTGCTGTGTAGTTACATTCCTTATCTGCTCAAATCATCACCAGCTCTAAAGAATTTTTAAAACGTTTTTCTAATTAATTTTATTGAAAAGGAAGTGGTTCGAAATTTGCATACTAATGAAGTGCCAGATATTACATGGAATTGTTACTGCGAAATTCCGAAATCAAGAGAACGTCGATTTTCACCGGTGAATGTCAACAATCACTTAGTCAAACTTCTTCATCATCCTCCATACTCCCTAGATTTAGCCCTCACTATCAAGCACTTCCTGCTAAGTTTGGAAAACCTTTTCAATAGAAAAACAATTGTAATACCGAAAATACGGTTAAACTGACCTTTCAGAAATCCATTATGAATGATATAGTCCCTTACATCTGTAAGCTATCAATCGAGTTCTACCAATTTCATACTTGACTTATATGGCGGTACTTGTGAATAAGGAAAAATCGTTGAGAATGTGGTACCGGTTAAATTTTAAGAAAATTTCAACTAATTTTCGAAGGAGGAATTTGGATTCAAATTAATAATACAGAGAAAAGACAATAATACAGTGGAAAATAATGCACATGCGATACAGAGGAAAAACAAAGCATATGCATGTTTGCATTTACTACACTATTCTTTACTGAAATGTTTCGATTGTTTTTGATATGATGAGAACTGAATAGAAATTGAAAAAAGAAATATTGCTTCATGTTACTGGCAAAAATTTCTCCTGGCTTCTGATATACTGTAAAATTATGATTATAGTAATAATTAACAACTATATGATTGTAGCAAGAAATTTAGACAGTTATAAAGTAGACATAATATAGACAGTTAGACAGTCGCAAAATCTCTCATATGAGTTGATCTTGATAGAACTACTGTGATAATAGCTGATCAATTAAATGAATTTGGAGCAGACAAAAATGTATGAATATCACATGTGCGAAGATTATTGCAGCTATATTGGAAACTATTTAAAGTTTAAACAACTGTAAAGACTTTCAACAGAGAAATATGAGTTACTATATAAATGCCATATACCCGTTGCTCTTCACTTTAATGCTATGATAATTGATGCTGAGTTAGCAAGCAATTATTTTGGAAATTAAATAATAAAACTAAGTTCGTCACATAAACATCACGTATACATTGAGCCTCGTCCCGCAGTGGACTGATCGTTAAGACACGGTTCCCAGCAGATCACCGAAGTCAAGCATCACTGGCTGCGGTCAGTGTGTAGGTGGGTGACCACTCGGATCAGCCTCGGACAGAGGGTGCACGTTATCGGTCCTCGTTAAACTGTTCTACCATAAAACGCTCGACTTCGCGTGCAGGTCGTCGGACTACCGAAGCAGATGTGTCATCCCTCTGCAGAGGCTTAAAATTGCGATGGCATGTCTTCGGATCATCCTCAGGGATGTTTCCCAGACCGTCGCCAATAGCCCATTATGCAGCTCGAGTGCGGCGTAAATGAACTACAACAACATTGAGCTTCACTTTATGATGAATATTGTTGTGTTGGCAACAGTTCAAAAATTAAGACAATCATAGCAATTTGGAACGGGTAGAAATGTATTCCATTCAGGGATTATATACGTAACTTTTTATTGAAACACTGCATTATTACTGTTATGCGAGCTGTTTAAAAGCTTAAGACACTGATTGAGTATATATTTTCAATATACTTTCATTCATATCATATATTTTCAAAACTGATTTTGACAACTTTTTCGTATTCATAAGACGAAAGTTTTAGCACTGATTCTTGAGATGTTGGCTAATTAGAAATACCCTTAAAATTTTGAATGTATTACTTTTAATTGTCAATTTGTTCCTCCTCTTTTAAACCCATCCTTCTCTCTCCCGTGGTATTTCCGAGCTGGAGTGTTCAGTAGTAACGTGACAATAAGAATGTAACTAATTCATTTCCTTTGCCTGGAAAACATTTTATTTATCATTTTACTCATCAGATGGCAGTACCAGGATATTTTTAAAGTAATTGTAGATAGTTTATTTCAAACTAGATGTCAGCACTAATCAAATGCATAACACAAGTACAAAAGCCAAAAAAATAGGCACTTTTATGACAGTTTTCTTGAAAATTAACAGATCGTTAAGGAGTTAAATACTGATTAACGATTCTTATTGAGTAAGTTCTAATGAATCTACATATTTAAAAAGAATTTTAAAAGTATCTATGTATGGCAGAGATTGCCAAAAGCTATAGATAATAACTGCCCTTATAATTCAGCGAATTATATAACGAATTCTTAAATCATATTATGAATGTAGTTTGTCACGAATTCTGCCACAAATTTGATATTTTATAACAAATTTTCATAATCACTGCCTTCATAATATATTTTTAGGATCTTTCTTAAAAATAAAGTGAAAAATGTATTCATGAATGCATTGTATGAAATGTATTCATGAAAATGAATGCATATTAAGAGTTCCAAATAAGTATTCAAACAAAGTGAAAACAAAACCACTATCGAGATCTGACGAATTGCCAGTGAGGAAGGCCGGATAAAAATATCAAAGCGTACAGTTTCAAGAGGGAAAAAAAGTAATTGAAAGTGGAAACATTAAGTTTCTTTTTACTTACCTTTCAAAAAGCGATAAAACAAGCTTGGATCTTCTAATAATTTGGGTGTCAAATCATGAATAGTCCGTCTTTTCAACTAAAAATATAAAATTACAATTACAATTTAAAATTGTATGGTGCAGTGCACTGTTAAATCTGCAGTGTATAATCTCTTCGAGTTTAATGTTGAACAAACCAAAAAATTTTATTAAGATAAAAGATAAAATTACAATTTAAAAAGATAAAATTACAATTTAAAATTATATGGTGCGCTATTAAATCTTTAGTCTATTAAATCTATTGTCAATATTAATCTGTAACCAAAAAATTTTATTAGATAAAATTAAGAAAAAAGATAATATTACAATTTAAAAAGATAAAATTACAACTTAAAAAGATAAAATTACAACTTAAAAAGATAAAATTACAATTCAAAAAGAAAAAATTGCAATTTAAAAAGATAAAATTACAATTTAAATTTGTATGGTGCTCTTTTAAATCTGTAGTTAATAATCTCTTCGAGTTTAACGTTGAACAAACCAAACAATTGTATTAAGATAAAATTAAGGTAAAATATAAAATTACAATTTTAAAAGATAAAATTCCAATTTAAATTTGTTTGGTGCACTATTAAAACTGTGGTGTATAATCTCTTCTAGCTTAATGTTCAACAAACCAAAAAATTTTATGAAGGAACATTCTTTGGTAAGTTAGCACCAAATAGAGATTTCATATACAATTTAAAGAGTGTAAATAAATCTTAAACTCGTATAATGGTTTACACCAAGATCACGCGCTTTCACACCATCCGTTAAATATTTTAGCTTCCAAAAACACCAATGTTGGCACGCTTTGGATATCGTCTGACGATCGATTTCAGTTGAATACAAATGGGCGAGAGTTAGTTGTTGTTTTCGGCGATTTTATACATATGGGCAAATCTCTAGAACCTTTAACCTATGGTGTCTTCAAACTTTTCTTATAAATATATAACATAATAAGGGAAAATTAATTCTAATAAAATTACAGGAGTAACTATGCATTACTAACTTTAAGATACGTACAGTTTTGATCTCGAGTAACTTGATTTTGGCTTTCATTTCTTACTTCAATCCTACGTTGGACGACTTTTCATGAGTGTCGCTTAGAGAGTTTAACATACTTTTTATTTATTTTTTTCAATATGTATTCTGTTTAAAAAAAAACTGAAAATCACTAAAAACATAATTAAGTGCATCAGCTGTACTATAGTATTTTCTTGAATGATATTTTTCGTAAATATTGACGTTTGCAAACACTTAAAGTTTNTATATATATGGGCAAATCTCTAGAACCTTTAACCTATGGTGTCTTCAAACTTTTCTTATAAATATATAACATAATAAGGGAAAATTAATTCTAATAAAATTACAGGAGTAACTATGCATTACTAACTTTAAGATACGTATAGTTTTGATCTCGAGTAACTTGATTTTGGCTTTCATTTCTTACTTCAATCCTACGTTTGACGACTTTTCATGAGTGTCGCTTAGAGAATTTAACATACTTTTTATTTATTTTTTTCAATATGTATTCTGTTTAAAAAATAACTGAAAATCACTAAAAACATAATTAAGTGTATCAGCTGTACTATAGTATTTTCTTGAATGATATTTTTCGTAAATATTGACGTTTGCAAACACTTAAAGTTTGTCGCGAAATTTTGGCACGTCAAACCGTAACCATCGAAAATTGAAAAAAAAGGTATACAATCCAATTCTGCGAGTTCTATGTTAGTGATATTCCAAAAGCTTATTTAAAATAGAACAAACTTGTATCATTATTATAGATGAATATTTTTATTTGCAGTAATTATAAATTAATCGAATTTATCCCAAACTGTCATTCGGTGAGGTAGCAGTAACGATGACGCAGATCTAAAAAGTAAATGTTAAAATCAATCAAAACTTTGATCACACGTTTGTCATTGCCCAATTTATTTTCTGCGTTATTTGCATCATTGCGTTGCATCTGAGAAAAGTTTTCGATCTATTCCCTAGGTTGTCCAGACCGTAACCCTGTCAAACCGTAACCACAGGATTAAGTAATTGAATTTAACATATCAGAACTTAGTTTTTTCCCTATGTTTTATTAATTGAAAATATTTTTTGACTGAAAATAATTGAAGTAGGCCTTTTTATACATTTTATAACAATTTAACTTAATATTAAAATTTTTCATTTCATTTATGATACTAATAATGTTTGATGAGAAATAAAGGGTAAATAAGGAAAATTCAAAAATTTTAATTTTTTGTTTATACTTATAAGGGCATCGAAATTTTCGATGTTCACGATTATTTTCTGATATTTCATACATTTTCAAACAATCCTGGAGGTTTAAAATAGTGTGCCTATATATTTTTTTTAATTTTTTTTATCAAAAAGTTAAAGGTTCTAGAGATTTGCCCATATACTGAAACTAAAAAAGTTCCCTGAATGAATATCTTTGCTTGTATAAGAAGAATGTTTATATTTTAAGTCTTTGTAAACTCTATTAAATAGTTTCTATCAGCTTCAATTCTGTTAAGTCTAGTTCCAATTTGTCTAAATATTTGCTCTGTTCTACGTGTATGTTTATTTACAATCTTTGTTTTAAAGAATCAAATTAATGTATGAATGCATCCTAAATTAATGATTTTCTCGGAAAAATAACTCTAACGCTATTAGCAAAAAATATACCTACTATGTGAGATTAGGTTAGAGGAAATTTCACAGAACTATGTATTGGATAAAAATTATGTGAATTGCATAATTGAAAATTTCGTAAAATAAAAGAGCAATTTAGTCCACACAAATCTTTTTAAATAGCTTGATTTAACGTATCAGCATGACAACCTGTAATTCTATTGTTTGGTGAGGACAAACTATGTACTTAAGATTAGTTAACAATTTTCACCAGGAAGACGTTTAACTAGTTATGATTATGTACATTAAGTTTAAACAAATTGCTATCTAACTAAGAGATAAATAAAAGTAGATTGAAGGTATGATAAAATTGTCAAATAGAAATAAGAAAAACGTTCAAGGAGAAATCTCTTATATATTTAGATAGTGATAATGGGGGCGAAAAAGCTATAAAACAATGATAAAATTAAATCTAAAATTGAATCTACTTTAAAATAGGAAAAACCAAAAAGATGTAAAGCAGTAAGGGGAAATAAAAAACAATTACAAAAGCAAATATCTTGTAATTCGATGCAATCTGATATGATTGTCATTGTGAGAAGCACATAAACTTCGAAATTTTAGAAAATTATAGTTTTTATTTTTATTACCCGACTACCTCTTCTCTTCCAAATTTGAATTTGAATTAAGATTTGAATCTTCATTCCAAATTTGAATGAATTACACTATAGTCTTTAAGACCCTGTATAAAATTTAAAATAATTATATTCATAATATACATATATATATTTCTAAAATGAAATTTTTTTTCAAAAAAATTACCTCTTCGATGGCATTTTGTTCTTCAGTACTAAGTTGTTCCAGCCAAGTCATGGTTTTTCACTTCATTAGTTTAGTCTTTAACCTGTAAAAGTCAAAGTCATTTTAAAAAAGAGTCAAGGAAATCAATTAGGCGTATTTTGAAAATAAATTTCAAAATGACTTTTTTTACTCAACAACAATACTTTAGGACAAAACAAAGTTTATGTAATATTTCGTGACTTTCAACTTTGAACGATAGCATATTATCGTAAAGTTTTGTTTTTTTTCTTCTTGTAGATTTTATCTATTTTCTAGAAAATAACAATAAGAGATGAATTGACAGAACTGTTTTTATCATTTGCATCGCATCGGCTATTTTAGTCGACATTTTATTGATAACCTGTCATTTCATGTAGTTAAAGGAGAAGTGTAGACATAAAATAAAAATAAAATGTCTTGAATAACTTATGATTCAATGACCGGATTTGTACTTGATAAGCTGCGGTTTCTGATATTCGCAGTGCTCAGCTAAAATGCAAAATGCGAAAAATAAAAAGGCATCACCCCAAATAACTTTTGTTCTTATGATTGGATTTTCACAAACTATGTGCTAACCCTAATTTTTCAAAGAGATGAACCTCAAATATGCTAATTAAATTATGCTAAGTTACGGAATCAGACACAAAAACATGCTTTCTCTGAAAAGACATGCATTTTCTTTAACGCATTTGGATGTTTGGCTATGAAAATAAGGGGAGGGGGGTAGTAGCACTCTTGAAAAATATGGCCCTCATATTTTAGTTGGGACAGCAGTTTAAAGTTTATGCCCCCTTAATGATAATTTCGCTTTTTGAATACTTTACCACATTTCGAGAACTAATGAAGAGAATCGAGATTAATAATGTTTAATATAAAATATTTATAACATAAAAATAGAAATATAATATAAGAATAATGTTTATCTAAAAAAGTCCATTGTAAGAAACAAATTTTAACAATTATTTAATATTTTATTCCATAACGCTCAAAAAATTTTTAATTCATGAAGCACATAAATTTTGAAACCATTTTTAATTATGCAAGTTCAAATAACGAAATACTCAATTTGAGCGAAGTTGGTCGAATAGTTTCTGAGATATAAATTTCGAAAAACTTGTATTTTTAAACCTTCATATCATATGTTGATTGGTTAGGTTCAAATTTTGTACTTTGTCATTTAAAATCACGCAGTTTAAAATTAAATAAAAATTTGCTTACCTCATAACACAAAAATCTTTAGATTCTTGTTAAATTAAGTAATACAATAATAACAAATAATTATTAAAATCTTTTTTACATAGAATTATATTTGGACAAAGGAATTTTATATTGCTTGAAAAAAATTATTGATACGTTTAAAAATTTCCCGAGCTATAGCGAAATACTTAAAAAGTTAATTTAATATTAAAGGGCCAGAAACTTCAACCGCTGTCCTGCCTAAACCGTTGGGGCCATATTTTCTAGTCATCCCATATTTTGATAGCCAAAAATCCAAATCTGTCAAAAAAAGTTTTGTTTATTCAGAGAAAGGTTTTTATGCCTGATTCTGTAATTCAATTAATAGTTAGCGCTAATTATTGTGAGATCAACCTTTTGAACTATTCAGATTGGCAGTCAGTGCGTGAAAATTCGTTCATTTGAACAAAGGTTAATTTAAGTGATATCTTCTTTATTTTGATCACTGTACAAAATTATTTGAGTGCGCCCTAAGGAATTCTGACAATTTTAGTTGGATGCAAATTTTAACAAATTTTTTAAAATATTTTTTTCAGATATCGGATTAATATTTTTTTCCGGATACCTGAATAATTAGTTTTTCTTCGAACCAATAGTTATTTAAGAAAATTTTGTCATATTTTTTGCATCGTTTATTTTGTAATTACCCCTTTTACTAATGTACTTTTTAGAATGATTGTTAAAAGTGTAATAAAAAAGAGAGGTTACAAATATAAGTCGTAAAAAGATAACAAAATATGATGAATAACTATTGAGGGCATAGTTTGAACCTTGAGAATAATTTCAACTTCGATAACACCAAAATTCTTTCCTTCAATGGTCAAATCAGCTCACCTTGATATTCTGGAATCTTGTTTCATTCACATGAATACAGATTCCCTAGTTAATGAACCGATTTTCACACCAACCACCTGGAAAAGCAGCCTCTCCTGATTTGCCTTTCTCGGTTACCGCAGTTTTTCTAGCTTTATTTTTCACCTTTATTTTATTTTCCTTTTTCTTCGTTGGCCACGTTATGTTCTATTTTTTCAATATGTTTTGTTTTTCTCCCTCACGTCTGGTAAATCTTGAATAAGAACGCCTGCTTTCGAGCATTCAAAACATATCGATTTTTTCCACCTGAATAGTTTCTGTTCTTGCATGTTTGATTAAGTAAACAGTTTTACTTAATAAAAATTTCAATAAATATGCATAAGAATTCCATCAACAAGATATTTAAAGGGTTTAAAAACTATCGATGCTCTAACATTCTATGAGTTCTAAATTCATGTTTGAAACCTCATAGGGGACAACATTTCGTTGTTGACTTTGTCGTGCACGATGTCGTGTTCGATTACGCATAATTTTGTGGAAGATCATAGTTATATCATAATCTTATGTCTTTTTTTCTTTTTTCAAATTTTCTTGCTGATATCTTGTTTCTTTGAAACAAAAACACATTTGATCATGCGATTGAAAATTTATCTCATCAAAACATTCGTTATTTCATGTCTTTGAACTTAAAAGTAATCATTTGCAGCAATGAACGAAAATAAGATTTGATGATAAGTGAACAGAAAAGTTGAAGAACCTTAGAGTAGTGTGGTATATTAATGCACCGTAAAAGATTGATGCATTTTAACCAAAGAAAGTAACGATATTTCTAAATTTTTGTTCACAATATATTGAAAATGTTATATCGAATGATAAATATCGATTAAATAATAATATCGCGATAATTATCGACAACATTAATTTAGAGATAATAAAAGGATGTCGCGAGTAATTATCGACAACATTAAATTAGAGATAATAAAAGGATGTCGCGAGTAATTATTGACAACATTAAATTAGAGATAATAAAAGGATATCGCGAGTATGAAGCAATAATTGACGACGATTTAGAATTAATATAGTATAGTCAGTATTATTGATAACGATAGCTATCGAATACGATGGTATTAGGGACATAATCGACAAAAATATAAAATTTCGTACTGTCGATAATGATAATTATCAAATAAGATGATATCGTGGGTATTATAGACAACGATAAATATCAAACATAGTACGATTAAGAGTAGTATCCATAAGGTTTTGAATTCCTGATTTTGGTTCACAATAGATTGAAAATGATATATCGCACGATAAATATCGATTAAACGATAATATCGTGATAATTATAGAAAACATTAAGTTAGAGATAATAAAGGGAAGTCGCGAGTATAAAACAATAATTAACGACGATATAGAATCAATATAGTACTATAGCGCGCATTATTCATAACGATAGTCATCGAATACGATGGTATCAAGGACATTATTGACAAGAATATCAAATTTGGTACTGTCGATAATGATAGTTATCCAATACGATGATATCGTGAGTATTATAAACAACGATAAATATCAAACAAGAGCCTTATGAGTATTACGAGTAATACCCATAAGTTCTCGAATTCCTAAATACACTGACATTAAAACCTCTACCCCTTGAGCCACCGTGCCTATAAAATGTTGATCAAATCGTTAAAAAATAATACAAACGGTGTTAAATTATTACCAGCCGAAACATATACAGGGATGCCCCAAGCAACTAAATATGTAAAAAGTGGTAAAAACTAAATTCGTTTTTATTTATTAAATTAATTAATCATAACTACCACAAAACATACATTATAAATTTTTCATTTTAAAACTAAAACTAACTAATTGAAGCATTGTAAATTATTCATATTTAACAATTTTACTTTCAATACTAAACTGAGAGATTAAAGTAAGAAAATTGTGAATTTTAATTTCGTTTAACAGATATTTTGCTTTTTATTAATCAACACTTTTTACATTTTTAATCGCTTGTGATATCCTTGTAAAGAGATAAGCTTAAAATTTAATTGCATGTAAATATGAACTAAATTAATAATATTCAAATAAAATACGATAGCTCATAAATAATCATACATACATAAAATCAGATATTAAATTAACGATATTTTAAAAACATCGTTAAATACACAATAAAGACAAAAAAGAAAAGAGATATTAACGAAAAAAAATTAAGGAAATTAACAATAAGTTTTGTTTACTGCACATTATCTGCAAGTACATAGAACCCATAAAATAAGTTTAAAATTCGAAAAAGAATACCAATGGATACATTTTTTATAGAGAAGAAGAAAAATTATTAATAAATAAAATATCTATTAAAATATATTAAAAAAGTTTTAAAAAAATTACAAATCAAAATGTCGGAAGGCAAAGTAAGAAAAACATATAATCCCGTCATCAGCTCACACGATTAGATCCGCAAAGAAGAGTGCTTTCTAATATTGTATAAATATTAACAAAGCAAAATATATCAATACAGTTCCTTTAAATTTTAAATATATTTTATTTATTAATAATTTTCCTTCTTCTCTTTAAAAAAAAAATTATTGATACGTTTAAAAATTTCCCGAGCTATAGCGAAATACTTAAAAAGTTAATTTAATATTAAAGGGCCAGANTATATATATATAATTATGAAATAAGAATAAAAATATAAAGAAATTTGAAATTCCTTTCTCAAAGAACTATGTTCAATTTCAGTTAGAAATGGAGAATGTTTGCCGAAGTAATATCATCAATTGTAAATTTAATTTGCTCTAATCAACTAAGACGAAAAAATAAATAAATCTTCTATTCATTTTCGAATTAAGTATTGAGACTTAATAGTGTTATTGAGACTTATTAGTCTAAGAGCAAATAATTACCAAATAGGTCATGGTCATGGGAGTAAATGTAAATAAATATTATGAAATATACAGACTACGATATTCAGAAAGTTGGATTAGAACCTAAGTCTCATTT